GCTCCCGGGTCCGTGTCCCATCGCGGGGCCAGGCCCGGACCCGGGGTTTTCGGCGCATCGCCTCGGCGTGGCCCTTCTGCCACGTTTCATAACCAGGAGAACAAACAACCCTGCACGCTGGGCAGAGGGGACGGACGCCAAGAGCCTCCATGGCTGCCTTCCACCGATGAATGGGCACAACCCGTTAAACAATGAAAGGCTCTTCTGTCTCTGCCTCTCCTTCTGGCGGGGCTGCTCTTTCCAAGTGCTTTTAATTACCGTTTTATTAGCGACTTTGAGGTTTAGCCTAGCGGACCGGCCTTCCCGACTCCATTTCTGCATGTTCAGCACAAGCAAAGGCGGCTGCAGCATCTCCGTGCCTCCCGACTGCTGCGCTTGGCCCTACCTGCGGGGCTGGTCTCTGCCCGCCACCGTGCCACCGTGCCCAGGTCCGCAGGGGACACGGGGCTGCTCTGCCTGCAATCCGAGTTGCTCTGCCTGCCTGCCTGCCGCACAACCACGTCAGCACAACTCCCAGACCAACCCACCGAGCTCTGCTAGGTCTGACGGGTGTTGTTTGGGTCCCAAGCCCCAAACTTGCCCCCAGTCGGAGCAGGGCTGGGTGAGCTCCGCCGGCGCTGGTGGCGCTCTCCCTGGGCACCGCCGAGCGCGGGGCACGGCTGCATCGATGCACCCGTGCTGGCCGGGGAGGATACGCAGACAAACGGTGCTTGCAGAGAGGTGCAAACCCAGGCCCTGTTTTTGAAACGTGCCCCTAGGACGCGGAGCTCACGGTTCCGACGTGGCGGGGAGGCAGCTGGCTGGATCTCTTTTCCAGCTGTGATTTTTCCTGAACGTGCTGATAAAGCCGCGAATTTGCCTTCGTCCGGCTCCCCCCCAACAGGCTGCTCCCAAACCTCCCTGCAACAGGGAGCTCCCACTGAGAGCTGGGGATGTGGAGGGCTCACACAGCAACCGCTCGTTTCCACCCAAATTTAAGTGATCCACAAGCCCCCGCGGCCCCCACCTCGGCACGTGGCGGGGCACGGCCGGAGGAGAAGGGAGGCCGGGGAGAGTTGGGCTCTGCGCGAGGGGCAGGGGCAAAGGGTCTTGCGAAACAGCGCGACGAACGCTGGTAAGGACGAGTGTGGAAAAATCCCCCGAGCCCCAGCACGCTGCCATTCTGTCGTGCTTCGCGGCTGGGGGAGATGCCAGCAGAGCTCTCTGAAGTGCTGGGATGGTGCATTTACCAACCGCCCGGTCCCCCGCCCGGGGAAGGCAACGCCACCTCCGGGGGAGAACACAGGAGTCCCTTTTTGTCATTGATGCTGAGAGCCAGGATGCCAAACGGCCTCCTTAATTAAAAACCAATCAGTCCCATGAACGAGCAAACATTAACGGTAACCGCACACAGCCCCAGCAACAACCTCTCCCTCCGCGCGTCCCCCGGGAAGAGACGAGGGGGGGATGTTCAGAGATGCGGACTCTGCTGCTCCGGCTTCCCACTCCAGAGAAAAATCCCTCCCTGCTCTCCTCCAACAGCCCTGCACAATAACATGCAAATCCCATGTCTTCCTGGGGCGCTGCGGTTCTGGGAATGTCAAAGTCATCTTTATGTCTCTATTAAGAGGGAGCCCCAGGCATGGAATTTTTTTTTTTTTTTTTTTTCCATTTATTTTCCTCAAACAGCCTGTAAGTGAAAATCTTCATGGCCAAATCATTAAACGACTACAACTGGTTTTGGCCGCAGCCCATCTCTTCTGAACAGTCGAAGGATGCCGGGGTGGGAAGGCTTGTTTTCTTTGACTGATGGTTTTATTTAATTAACTTTCATATTTCAATCCTCTCTGCTCCCTAGACAGCTCTCCCCTTCCCCAAAATATATCGCAGTAAATGAGAACCATGCAGGCTGCCTCGGCCCCGGCCAACAAACTCCCCTGGAAGCCTTACCGAGGTCCCCAGCGCGAGGCACGGCTCTCCCATCGCCCCGTGGAAACCGCGGCTGATGCCGTCCGGGAGGCGAAGCCAAAACACACCCAGGGACGCTGGCCGGCAGACGGGTCCCATACGCGGCTCCAGGCAGCTGGGGCACACCACACCGGCGCTGCCGAGCAAGGGGAGGAAGGATGGACTCGGCTCCACCAGGCTCCGGGTCCGCAGCTGGAGCTGGGATCCGGTTTGGCCCACCAGTGACACGAGTCCGCGGGGCTCAGCCTGGCTCCCACCCGGATCGCCGGGCCATTGTTTCGGGGGATCAACCCAAGCCAGGCTCTTCTGGCTCTGGAATTTATCTTGGCTCCAGGATGGGGTTTTCTTAAAAACTCAAGCCTGGAGATTACTTTTCTCCTTTAGCTTTATGACTGGCCTACCGCAGGCCCTCTCTCCTCAACCCTTCGCTCTGCACCCTGATCACCACGCAGCACCCAGGCTCCGGGGGGGATGCGCAGCCTCCATGGCTGCCCCCAGCCCTGCAGCAACACCCAGACCCCGAGCCCCGAGGCGAACAGGGTGCTCTTGCACCCCACGGAGGAGCTCTGCATCCCTCCCTGCACGGCACGGGGGCTGCCTGGGATGCAGGAGCCCACCACCACCTCCGGCACAGAGCTCGCGGCACCTTGAAACAAGCCACCCCACCTCAAGCTCCACAGGGAAAGCATCACACCATGAAACAGTGAGATTTCCATGGCGTTTTCTCCCCTCTTGCCTCTTAGATGCCTCTTCCCTCTGCTCGAGGAGGCTGTTTCTCTCAATCCGGCCTCTCAAATGTGTAAGGGCCCCCATCCCCCACCAGATCCCAGAGTCCACCACCGTCTGCCTGCACCACCGAGCTGGGAACCTGCCGGCCTCTCGCTCCTTCCATGGCAGCCCCGAGAACGCTCATGGGCAGGTGATGGCCCCAGCGAAGGCCAGAGGAGGGTCGGAGGACTGGCATCATCTTCACGGAGCTTCTGCAAAGGGGATTTTTCCCAGAAAAGCAGCAGGGGTGTGCCCTTTCCCATCTGACATCCCCAGCAAGCGGCCGTTGTGAAACACCCCATCTGTTTCAGCTTATCCAGAGGCAAATAAAGATCGGAGCGAGAAAATAAGACTCCAGTGTATATTTAGAAATGCTGGATTTGGTTAGTGCAGAATGAAGGCAGCGCAGGGCCTGGGATCAAGCAGCAATCGTTTATTCTAATGCCATTGCTTTGGTGCGAAGGAATCTGTCCTCCTGGGGAAAGGCGAATGCATCCCACCACGGCCCACCAACGGGATCCAAACCCAGCGTCCCTCTCCCCAGCTGGGACCGGCTGGCACGTGGGCCATGCCTGCCGGGGGGGGGGGG